ATGACGCCCTGTGGCTGCCTGATGCTTCACATTTAATGGTACCTTTTTTGCAGGAATTTCAGCCTTCTCATCACAGCAGAGAAGCTGGTAATTCTGTGAGAAAATTCAGCTTTCCTTGCCTCATAAAGAAAAAAATTAAACGTTAAAAAAATCCCTTTAGCGTTGTGACTTTTTAAGGTTTACTGAATTGCACCTCACTGTGATCATCAATGAACCGTCGCTTAATTTTGTCATATTCATTTGACTACAGGGATGTTTTGCTTCTCTGCAGGCATGTCATGTGCTGTGTACTGTTGACTACAACTGCAAGCTAGATACTCACCGTGAATTTCAAGCATGAATGAATGTTCGGTCTTGGTATTAGGAAACAGTGAGTGTAAGAAGCTGAAATATCAACCTAATAGCTTTGCAGCGCTTACATTTCACAGTCCTCTTCACTGAATCATGTAGCTGAGAGAGCAGCATGAAAGGTACTCAGTGGATGTGCTTCTGTTTGACTCCTTTACTTGACTTTATGTAGCATTTTCTTTAATCTTCTTGTCAGAATCATGTTTTTCTGAAAAGCACTGCAAAAACACCAAATTTTGGTCTACTTTCTTGTGCAAATATCAGTGCTTGACATAATGCAAAACTAACTCAAGATATAGCAGCTTGTTATAAATCAATAGTTTCTCATTAATGATGGCAATAGTAGCTCGTCTTTGAGCTACTATTACTGTCTTTAGAAATGCACCTCTCCTGACCAAAAACAACCAATCAGAGCCAGGAGGAGGGTCTTAATGCTGTCAATCTATCTCATGTACTCACATATAGCTGATGGCTGAGAAACAACTTATTGTTACAAGAAAACCATTTATTGGTGGTCATGCTAATGCTAACAAGTCTATTGAGTCAAGACATAAAGGTAGGCAGAAGTATGATCTAGACCAGGGGTGTCCAAAGTCGGTCCTCGAGGGCCGGCATCCTGCATGTTTTAGTTCTTTCCCTGGTTTAACTCACCTGGATCAAATGATGGCTCGTTATAAGGTCTAAGGGGAACATTGACAAGCTGAAAAGGTTGTTGCTACCACCAGAGAGAGATCTAAAACATGCAGGATGCCGGCCCTCAAGGACCGACTTTGGACACCTCTGATCTAGAATATGTATAGATATCTTTTTTTAATAAAAGTTACATACTGCAGCTTTAACGTTAATTCAATATTTGGATGCGTGACAAACCACATCAACAGAAACATACCTGTCAATCCCTCCCACCCCCCTGACGGTAGATACCCCCTACTCAGCCCTGCTCTTACCACTTACCTGTTAAGGTAGTTTTCTTCTTAACTGAATTCACTCTTCTGAGTGGTTAGATATTTCTCATAGTCTCAAGTCCTAATATTGACAGGTATAGACAGAACGACTACCATTACAAAAACTACAGGCAGAATATAATTCCAAACCAGCGCAGTAAATTGACGTCACAGAAATTCTACTGCGGGAATCCAAGTGAATGGGGGAAAGCCGATTATAATCAAGCTGTTGGTAATTGTTACAAGAAATATCTCACTAAAGACAAAACTTCTCACTTTTTGTTTAGTCATAATTAATTAAATCTAAATGTATTAATTTCCTTTATTCATTTTTAAGGGGGGGGGGGCTAAGAAAAGCATCACGATCGATTTGTATTAGGTCTTAATAACCTCACGCGGGCCGCTTCTCTCACCATTTGCAGCCCACGTGCACATACGAGGCGCGCGCGCGCAGATCGGGAGCGCGCGTGGAGGCGGTCCGGGGACTGCCTCGCTTCTGCTGTAATCGCTTTCCTGCCGCTGCTACCTCCAGTTAAATAGCAAGGACAACGGGAGCGAGCAGACGGCCGTGTGAGGATATACTTTTCTCGGTACCTTGGGGATTACGACGCCGAATTGCAGCATCGACGGCCAACCGGCGAGGTAAACTCGACAACCGCCTTTTTTGGGGGGAGTAGATTGAGAAAAAAAGTAGCTAAAAAAAAATCTCCCGTGAAAGAAAAGTGTCGTTTTCCAGTGAAGGAGGAGGAGGGAAGGAGAGAGAGAGGGAGCGAGAGAGGACGGGGGAGGCGGTGGGAAGAGTCTCCCTTTGTGCCGAAGCAGGGTCACCGCTCTCCCGGAGCTCCGCCGCCGCTGACCGTCCTCCGCCGGACAGAAACGCCTCCCTCTATGCGTCGTTTTTATCAATTAGTTATAAAACAAAGCAGGCCTGCTCATCTCTGATCAGCGGCGCAGCCCGCAGCCGTAACCCTACTTTCCGCCTCCTCCCCCCGGCCTCGTAATGTTAGCTAGCTCCCTATAATGTTTACGGTGGCTTTTGTAGATCCGCTCGGCTGCGGTCCCCCGGTCCGACCCCCCATTGTGTGGGCTTTATCCCCGTAAACGTTACGGTGGTGAAGTTAGCTCCCAATTAAAGGGACATTTCTTTGCTTTTAGGGAATCTGAACCCCCCTTTCATTTACTAGATTATCCTGAAGATTCTTTAAATCACCGTTTCTGACTCGTAAAATGTTTGTAATTTTGGTTAAAACCACACGAAAATGTCTATATTACAGCTTTTTTCCTTTTAACAACACATCTTAGACATATAGTTTGTGATGAGTAATTAATTTACTCTATAAACCAGAGTAAAGCTGGGTTTTATTGGTTTTTGTTTAGACTGTTAGACCTACTTCAATAATGTCCACTTTGAAAACTGCAGTATTGTTTTGTTTGTTTGCTGAAACTCTAAAGAAAGATTATTATTTTTTGGTCCTAAAATATATCTTAGTTTGGTAATCACTTTATTTAGACTGACCACACCTGGGGTAAGTTGTTTAGAAGTATTCACATACCACTGTAGGCAGGGATGCACTATATTGACACCAACATCTATCGGCTGATATTAGGCATTTATTGGTCCGATAAATAAAACTGGGCCAACGTATTATTTTTGCGTTTTGACTACACCTTAGATGAGATCCAGATTGAGAATATTATTTAAACTGGTCAAACCTACATTAATGACAGATTTTTTCAAGCTGAGTTTGATATACCCATTTGTGGAGACGCATAATTAGGATTTTAATTGGATTCTTTTAGTCATCTAGATTTGATTCTAGTTTAAAACTTTAACAATGGAAAACATTATTCTGTACTGATAGTCTTTTATAGACGGCTTGTCATTTGATAATTGTTTGTTCTATTTGTTAAAATACCAAAAACGATGATTTCTATACTTTCTGTTTATATTAAGTCAAATGTGGAAACTGCAGGCTGGTAAAACCAAAACCAGATGAGGTAAAAAACCTTCAACATATGGCGTGGAATGTGTGAAACCTTAGTTTTGGAAGTGGCGCTTCCAAATCACACTCTATAATTGGTATACAATAATTCATCTGAGGTTTTTGTAGATATTAGAGCGGATTTAAAGTGGTTTAGATTACTTAAAAGCAGTAAAATGTATGCTTACTGGATTCTAGCTAATAATACTACAGATTTATCTTGAATTTTCTCCTCGTCCTTGTTTCGACCCTCATCTGATCGGTTGTCGTAGCTGACGCCTTTCCACGAACTGCTCTTCAAGGAAAGCAAAGGCAACCCGAAACCTCATTCAGAAGAACTCCTCGCTTATCAGACACCTATCATCTTTTATTACACTACAACCACAACACATTTATGTTGACTTGTCTTTTTTTGCTATTGTGATTGAAGACAAGAGTTTTTCACAAATTGGGGGTCATTAATGATGCATCCGCTTTAATCAAACTCTAACTCATTTGTTTAGAAAGTCCGGTTTGTTTTGGAGATGTGAATGCGTAAGAAAACTCTGATGCGGACCAAAAAAGTGAATTCTGGTCCATCTAAAACCCTCGATCTCAGATCATTTGCGGGACCTGGTGCAGTTAGAATGTGTGTGTGAATGCAAGCTGACCAGAGACCGCTCCAAAAGCAGGAAGTACAGAGCAGGGCATTCTGGGTAAATGCAACCAAAACAAACGCGAGAGTTTAGCGTTGGCAGGAAGAAATCCTCCAATCAGACGCCACCCCATTTCTGTTTACATTTCATGAAAAAAGGTTTTTTGTGTTGTCTCCTTTGGTGGTTCTAGGTGCAGCGCCACCACAAACGAGGAGGTTAACAGGTTTTTCAAAAGGTTTGGTTTGTTTGACATAGTGTGAAAGCGAACCGCACAAGCTGGAAATGTTACAAATGTTGGAATTTTGGTCTCCAGTGGAGCCAAGTCTACCAGACTATCAGGTGTGAAAACACCTTGAGATGATTTGGACAGGTGTGGAGGACGAATAGTGGTTGTGTTGGACAAATGATGTGAAACAGGGAGCTACCAAAGAGCAGAAAAGGACAGCTAAAGGGAATCATTCCTAAATGTTATTTGCAGTTACTGAAAAAGCCATTTTATGAGTTTATTAAGATGAAAGATAAAATTGATCTTAAGTGTCTTATTATCCACTGTGTGTGTAAAGAAGACAAATTACAGCAGCAGCAGCAGCAGCAGCTTTGTTTGCCTTAAATCTGGGTCAGTAAAGTCATTCCGTTAAAGTCGTATCAAGGCTGCTCTTCAGTGTGGCTCATATTTACTTTTTATCCCAATGTTTGCATCTGAAAATACAGTTCGTCTTTATACTTCTTGCAAATCTTTAAAGGTAACCTAGTACGCTTCCCTGGAAAGGTTAGGATATTTTTATGGACAATAAAAACATGTTGATTACATTTTTTGTACAAAGTAATTGTCAGATGATGAGCTTTTATTCTGCTCAGTTCTGCCTTTTTTGAGCTCCTCTCAGATGAGATGTTTTGGGGCCTCTGTCACTTTACATCGAAATGAGCAGCCGGTGGCCAGGGCCCCCAATTCAGTGCCTGCACCCGCCCGTGAAAATGGTTGCAAACTGATGTGCAATTATACAACTGTACATATTTGAAAAGCATTAGTAGAGCCTCCTGGACAACCAACCAGGCCTGTCCATTTTTTTTTAATTTTTGCTTTTTTTTAGGGCCCACGATGTCCAGCGAAGTGCAGAGACCGGACGACAGCCCCAGCACGAGCGGGGGCAGCTCTGATATCGAACAAAGGGAAACGGTACCGCCTGAGCAGGAGCGAGAGCAGGCACAGCCCAAAAAGAAGGAGACCAAGATCTCAAGTAAAACCGCTGCTAAACTTTCAACTAGTGCCAAGAGGTAAGCCGAGGATCCCCAAAAAACAAAAAACAAACCAACAACCTCGGCGTCATCGTTTACACAGGAGCTGTTTTGTGAGACCAAAGCTCTGCCTCCTCGTACCCCGGGGGTGTGAGGTTGTACAAAAAGCCTCCGGTCCCCACAGGCGTTGTTGTTTCAGATGCTGCAGCTCTGAAGTGTCACTGCTGTCATCTGAAAGCGATATTCCCCATTCCCGTCTGTTTGTTCTTTAATAGATATGCCTCATGCTCCGCAACACTTAACTCCAAGTCCGCCGGTCCTTCCCAAAAAAAAAGGCAGATGAGAGTTATGCAACCATGTGAGCGAAGAGTCTGCTGAGGACATGCAGTCTTTTCTTATAAAAGTGACTGATGCTGCGAGCGTTTTCATTTCCTGTGCTTCTCTTGAAGCTATGAAGCTTGCAGCACAAAAATCATGAAGGTGTTAATGACACTAATGGATAAAAAAGCAGCTTCTGCTCTCACTTGCTCTTTTTTTGTCTGTAAGAAGTACGACCGCAACTAATGATTATCTTAGTAAAAAATTCTCACATTTTATAGGTTTTTCACTTAACATCTTAAGATTTTTCATAAAGTATTTGAAATATATTAAAATATGCAGATAAACAAAAAGTGTAAGTGGCTTTTTTATTATCTTGTACAGTTTTGACCCAATTGCTGCTCTGAATATGTTGTTTTTCAGGAAATTGACTTTTTTTTGACTGTATACTCCAGCTAACAATTAATCGATTTGTAAATTAGAGACAGGAAATGTTTGCAATCATGACATAAAAATGTGTAGGAAACCTTAGTAACACTTAAGGTCGCAACTAATGATTATTTTAATCATCGATTAATCTATTGATTTTGATGATTAGTTGATTAATCGGATAAGAAAAATCCCACATTCTGCAGTTTCTTCACTTAAGCCTGTTTTATACAGTATTAGAAACACATTAGGAAACAAACAAACAAATCAGTTATTTATAATTAAGTATGAAAATAAACATTTGTCTAAAATGCAGTAACACTCTTAGTTTACGCTTCATCTTGTGTAACAAAGGATGCATCTAGAGCTTTAAAAAATACTTTTTCAGCCCTTTCTGCTTGATGTAACATTGATGCAGTGTTGAGCTAATCAATCGTTTTAATCAATAATTGGATTTCAAAAGGTGCTTAATAGGGATTTTCTTTCTGAATTTGAACCAGCTGAAGCTAAAACTTTAACAATTTAGTTCCCGGTAGAATATATTCACATTTATTTATCTTAAATGCAAAATATTCATGTATCTTTTGTATTTTTTTATCTCAATTACAGCTCTGAGTGTGTTGTTCTTTCAGAAATGGGCCTTTCTTTGAGTCTGTATACTCCAGTTAATGATTAATTTATTACTAAATTAGTTGATGATTATTTCGATGATGGATTAATCCTATTATTTGTGTCAGGCCTTGTAAGAATGTGTTAACGGCACATTCCTCTGCTTTCCCTGCAGTCAGACAACACTAAGATCACTGATGTATAATTCATCTAAAATCATGAATAAACATAACTCATAACATCGATTTTCATGTTTTCTGTGCTGTGCCTTCAAAAGGCGAGGTTAAAAATACAAAAGGTGCCTTTCTGTGTGTTTGAACCTCACATTAAATGGAAAATCTTTGCTTTCCAGGATCCAGAAGGAGCTGGCAGAAATAACACTAGACCCACCTCCAAACTGCAGGTAAGGAGTTTCTGCTTTTATTTGTGTAAAGCGAAGTGGGAGCACAGAGCAGCTGTAATGGGCGCAGGCAGCAGAAACATGCTCGTTTCATGGCTACGCTGTAATGCTCCTCCTTTTGTCTGGGCTCCTATTCTGCTGCTGCTCGTGTGTGTGTGTGTGTGTGTGTTTGAGGGGGTAATCTCAGGTGAAAAAGAGCGACTGCAACCCATTCTTGCATTGTTGTTGCTGCACAAAGCAAACAGAAAAAAAACAGGGTTACGTTGCAGTCTGGAAAAGTCGGTAATGTGTTTTCCAGATCTGGACACATATGGAAAATTATTTGGATTTCTTCTCTGTTTTTCTACAAGGTCTTTTCATCTTGTTTATTGGAGATTGAGCGCCGTAGAAATATCTGCTAAAAATACGCTGCAAGCTTTCAGTATTTAAACTTTAAAAATCAGATAAAAGGATGAAGGTCAAATGTGACCCAGATGCGCTTTTTTTGTCCTAATGTGACCCATGTTGAGCTTCTTTACGACAGTCTGATTCTAACCTCTCCACCAAAATAATCTGATCTTCTTCCATATGTGGATCTACTTCAGATATCTTACTGCTTTCAAGCCATCTGCAGTCTGAACGGTCATTTTATTTGACTTTTATGTGATTGATGCGAGACATGAAACATACATCTGCACCTGAAGAAGGCAGACGAGGTAAATCCAGATGTAAACAGTGGCTGAAAATTATGATTTTGAAAGAAGTATGGGTCACTGAAGTGCACCACATCACAATCAGGCCTGGTTCTGACTCCACATGCCTTTCTCTACAAAAACCTTTTGCTATTAGTTGTGCTTTATTTTATTAGCTTCCTCCATTAAAATCACGCGTGAATAAGTTTGTTCGTGCAATAAGTCATTAAGAAACATGCCTCACCATCGTCCTCCCACCACTTCCTGCGTCTTCTTTGTCGTTTCCACCAGTAGTAACATCTGGTTGTTGTTCATGTGACTCGTGATGGGAAGAAAGTGTTTCCTTTGCAGTTTGGCTCCGTCCATTATTACTTTTGTAAACAAAAAGCTGTTGTGTGACGTCAACCTTCTTCTTTTACGTATGTGGGTTGTTTTGGGGTCATAAATTCTCATTGCAGGCATTCTGAATTATTACACAAAAATATATCGCGTTTCAGGAAAAAAATCGGAATTGAGCATCCAGACTTTTTGTGTGAATGTAGCCTAAGGGTTATTTCACACCAGTTGCCCTCATGTCTTCTTTGGAGGTTTCGTGTCGTTTCCTTCAGTGGTTCTTGGTGCAGCGCCACCACAGGCGAGGAGGGGAACAGGTTTTTCAGTTTGGTTTGTTTGACGCAGTGCAGTGTGAAAGTGAACCACACAAACTGAAAATGTAACAAATGTTGCAACTTTGGTCCCCAATCGAATTGAATCTACAGGGAAATCAGATGTGAAACCATCCAAAGAACTGTAAGTTTTAGTCTGGAAGGGTTGGAAAAGCAGTCAGGAACCCTGCGCTTTCTGGGAAGAGAGCTTGGTTTTTACTCGGAGTGTTTTGGTTCAGTGGAAGAAAACAAGCAGCAGTGTGACTTTAAAGCCCAGCTTTGATTCTGGTGTGATTCCACCCCCACCATCACCTCTCTGTGCGGGGACAATGGTTATTGTGTGCGAGCGCCGCGGCTCTGAGCCTTCTGAGGAAGAGCGTCGCTCACGATGTGCATCCCTGTAAAGCCAGGGTTTCCCAGAAACCGGCCTTTATTAACCCAAATAACACAGACTGACACGTCGCCGCTGATTGCAGCTCTGTTTGGCGGAGAACAGTCTCACTCTGCGTCTGCGCTCTGATGGAAAATGGAAGCTGGTCTTTTTTTTCGTCCATCATGGGCACCTGCTTAAAATGATTAAGGAAAACGGCTTTATGTGACTCATCAGGCGGTTTGAAATGACTACACCCTAGACGGCCTTCTTTATTGCCTGAATTAATCACCCCTGCTGGCTCCCGTCGGAACCCCCGCCATCATTAACCATAAACATTGAGCTAACCTTTTCATTTGAGCTCATGGCCCAGTTTTGTTATTCTGCTGACGGCTGGAGGAGACGTTGTTTTCCTCCAGGACTCTAATCTTTATCTTTTCCACCTCCCTAAAAAAAAACAGGTAGGCTCACATGAAGGATTTGGCTGGAGGACATAAGTAAGTAATTTGAAAGTAAAATAATCGCCATCGGATATTTCACAGCCGTCGTCTTGGCGGGGGAGCTAGTTGCCCGGGAAACAATTAAGCTTCTTGGGGATTATCCTTTTATTCCTGCGTGTGTTCCCTTTCCTACGCTCTAAAATGATTCCTGGATCTAACAACATGTCTTCTGTGATGTTTCCTCCAATCGATTAATGACTACAGGGGTCAGACGCATAAAAATATCACACGGCACATTTTACACATGCTCACATGAGCGAGCGCGGACCGCAGAGGCCTGTGCACCACATGCTTGCGGTTAGGTTAGCCTGAAAGGTTATTCATTTCATTTACGGTGACAAATGGAGACGCAATCTGTCCCCCCCACCTCCTGCCCTTCCTCGAGTTGCGTTCAAGAGATTCCTGCGTTTTCATTGTGCTGTTTTGGAGCATTCTGCCGCCTTGAGACAGAAAGAATAATCTTTTTCAATTGTTTTTTTGGCATTTAGTTATGAAAAATCAACCTGGAACTGAATAACTGCTGCCATCCAACATTTCTAATAACTTGGTAATGGATCTTTTGGGTTGTTGTTGAGTTTTGATCCTTTATTTATGCAGAATTGTTTTAAATGAGCTTCATTTAAAACAATATAAAACTCCTCTATAGAGGAGTTTTATATTGGTGACAATAAAGGTAAATCTATTCAGTCTATGCTTTGTGCTCTGAGAGACGTCAAGCTTTATTCTTTAAATTGCACTTTCTGAATCATTTGAAGGGTTTGTTGAAGTTTATTTTGTATGTTTGACCAACCTGTTTCAGTTTCTTAGTTATTTTTTTTATGTTGGCTTTCATGCTCTTAAACGCGCTGACAGAACAGTTGTGTTGTTTTCAGGGCGGGGTAGTACTTTGCTACATTACTCAATTACATTTACTTGAGTAACTTTTTCAAAGAAATTACTTTTAGGAGTATTTTTACTATGTTGTACTTTTTACTTCTACTTGAGTAATTTTATTGTGAAGTATTTCTGCTCTTGAGTAAATTGAGTAAATAAAGAAGCAGTTAAAACCCAAATGGAAGCATAAAAACATGCAAAATGTGAATCTTGCATAATGGACCCCCTTCTATATTGTTAAACATAGTATTATTTTTAGTTTGTTTAATTTTATCACCTAAAGGATATTACTAGTAACGATGAAGCATTCAAATGGAAACTGAGTTTGTTTTAATGTATCATGGGATTAACTGATTCATTGCGACAGGCCAACTTGTGCTTGAAACCAAAGATTTAAAAGGGTGTAAATACTTTTTGCATGCTCTGTGCAGGTTCTCTCCTCTGAATTGAGCTGCTCTGGTTTCAGCTTCCTCATACTGTTGATAAAAGCTGTAATGAATGGAGAGTTTTGCTGATGATCTAATTTAAAGCGTGCCAGACAGGAGCTGCCAGCTTCATAAGGGTAATAAAACTCTAATGCCTTTTCATCAGGGCTCTATTTAAAGTCACTGTGATAACACTTAGCTGCATTTAAAGCCATTATTTACTCATTACATATGCTGCCTGTTTGGATAAACCGAGCACAGTAATGCATTGTGCAACATTTCCAAGCATCAGATCTGTGTAACAAAGTGTGGTGTCACTTACCTTAAAATCACAAGCAGCCGTTTCCACTTGACACCAGGTTTTATCTGCCTCTCTCGGCTTTGTGACGGCTTGCTCGTCACCTTGGCAGTTGTCGCGCATCAGAAGAGCAGGAACACGCCGAAGCCCCGGAGGATTTGACACAGCAATTATTCTCGCTGTCATACACTTCCAAGTGAATTGCACAGGCAGCTTGTGCTTCCTCGCCTGTTGAAGCGTACCAAGCTGCTTTTTAGTGGCTTTTTTTTTTTTTTTTTGCTGGGTGTGCAAATATTGCCTCAATCTTGCAGGAAAATAAACTTTTTATTTGATGCTATAACAGATAAAATTTAGCAGTGTTATCCGTAGGTCTGTTGCAATAAATCAATTAATCGCATGATGAATTAATACAAATTCAGTAATTTTCACTTGCATGATTTGTCGTTTTTCTCTTTTTTGCTTCAGTCTGATGCTTTGGTTTCAACTATTCATTTTTGTTGGAAGATTTTTTTTGCTTCATATTTTATTTTATTTGCTGTTTCTGTTTTGTTTGTGGTAATTAAAATGTCTTTCAGTTCCAGTGTTAAATGTTCATTAGAATTTAAAGTTTGTTCATTTTTGAGAATGTGTTCTTGCATTATTTTGCCATTCTTACTATATTACTTAAAACTGGCCTCAAAACAACAATATTATCGATTATCACAATAACTTCTGCCTCTCGGCTTTGTGACGGTAATGTATCGTCCAGCACCATTTGTTATTGTGACAGGCCTTGTTATCTCTATTGCTGGATGTATAAAGCTGGTATCCCAGTACGTAAATTTTTTAGTTTTATTCATCGAGACACAATAAAAGTAGTCTGATTTTAATCAGGTTTAAACAGAATTTCACCTCTGGTTAAAGCGGACTAAACTGGGAGAATGGATCCTTAAATTCAAACTCTGGATCGTTTATCTAGAAAGTCCGGTTCATTTGGGGAGATGTGAATGTGTAATCTATCTGGTCCCCTTAAAAACCTCCGTCTCGGTTGAAGTGAACTCTGGTGCGGTTTAAATTCATATCTGAATGTAGGCGGACAGGAGACCGCTCCAAAAGCAGGAAGTGGACTATACAGAGTGCAGGGCATTCTGGGTAAATGCAACCAAAACAAACATGAGAACCTAATGCTAGCGAGTGAAACGGGTTGTGGTCTTTTACCAAAGGCTAAATAAAGTCCTACAAATCTGACACCTCTCCACTTTTACTTGCATTTTGTGAAGAATGAAGTTGT